GCATCAACTTTTCAAAAAAGTCTTTAAACTTTCAATTTCAAACTTTTTTTTTTATCAATTTATTTTTCCAACAGTTTTTCATAATATAGGTACAGAACAAGTATTTTCATTTTNGTTGGAATTATTTTTCTATTTACCAGTGTGTTGTAAAAATGTTTTGAGCCTTTAGCAGAGAAAATAAAACTTTCCAGATTAACTGGAATATATGGAAAAGAAATTTTTAAAAATGGCATCTCATTACCTGCTAACAACTGTCTTACTGCAGCCATAACACCATGGAAAGTTAGAAAATCTGTGTTTATTTGGAATAAATCTATAAAATCCGGAAAATTGAAGAAAGAGTTATCCTTCTTGAATAAATCACTGATTATAACTATACCTTTGTTATACCATTCTCTGTAAAATACTGACCTTCTACCAACACATATTTGTCTATTAAACCATATTGGAGTTTTCATGACCTCTTTCCCTTTTCCATATGGGTTTTCCTTCTCAGCCTTTCTTAGTCTTTCCCATGCCTTCAGAATATCTTTCCAGAACTGGTTATTGCATCTATTATAACATGTTTGTAAATAGTCATCCCCAACATAAGCAAGTAGGTTAATATCTACAATAGACTTAATAATATGCTGCCATTTACCTTCACTAAGGAAAAGTCTCTTGACCCAACTCAGTTTCAGAGAAGTAATAAAAGCCTCTAAATTAACCATTTTCAATCCCCCATCAACATAGTTTTGTATAATAACACCCCTCTTTACTTTGTCAGTCTTACTGTTCCACATATACTCAAACAGGATAGAATTCAGAGTTGATATAAAATTAGCATCTGGGTTAGGTAGAGCAATAAATAGATGGTTGAACTGAGACAGCATAAGTGATTTTATAACATGAATTTTGCCAATAGGTGTCAATGACCTTCTACTCCAGGTTCTAATTAGAGCTTTCAGTTTAATGAGTTTTTTGTCATAATTAAGCTTCGGTATCTGATGTAAATTCAAGCTGAACTCTATTCCCAATAAAGTAAATTTGTCCTTTCCCCATACTAGGTTCATTTCTGGTAAAAAGCTGACATCACTAAATCTCATACTGCCAATCCAAATAACCTGAGTCTTGCTAACATTAATCTTTAATCCGGAAATTTTAGAAAAACTGCTTAATTCATTAAGTACTTCTCTCAAAGATCTTTCAGAGCCATCTAATATAAGTGTGGTGTCATCTGCATACATGGAAATTAGGATAGGACAGTCTTTGATTTCTACACCCTTAATATTTTTGTTATTCTTTAACCTGATTGATAAAACTTCCGCACATAAGATAAATATGTATGGCGCTATAGGGTCGCCTTGACGACATCCCCTTCCAATATGAAAGAAGGATGACAAATTCCCTCCATGATTAATCGCTGAATTGACATTTTTATGTAAAGTTTTAATCCAATTTCTTATACTATTTCCAAAGCCAAAATATTTAAAAACATTATCCACAAATTTCCAAGAGATAGAGTCAAATGTCTTCTCAAAATCAATCATAAGTAACATTCCTGGGATATTCTGATCTTTTGTATAATGCATAACATCATAAACAAGAGTATTTTCTCCAATATAACGACCAGCTAAAAAACCTGTTTGATCACTACTTATAATCTTATCTTAAACTGTTTTTATTCTAGAAGAAATAACCCTCGATGCTATTTTGTACACAATGTTCAATAATGATATTGGTCGCCAATTTTTCAACAAATGTCTTGGTTTATCCCCTTTTGGAATGCAAGTTATAATCCCTTGTCTTTGAGTGACAGATAACTCCCCAGAAGAATAGCCAAAATTAATTGACCGTACCACAAAACAACCTAACTGCTTCCAAAAACATTTAAAAAATTCAGTAGTAAAACCATCCGATCCTGGGCTTTTATTATTTTTCATATTTTTTAAAAAACGTCCAGCTTCCTGGAGTGTTATCTGCCCTTCAAGCTCTGTAGATTCATTATTTGTCAACTT